ATTCATCACCTTGGGACACAGAGCATTCGGATAACTCCATATGACTAGGAGGGAGCTGAGAAGTTTTGCATGTCCATATCTTTGATTCAAGTGCAAAAAGCAGAAATGAGTCGCTTGTGTCCTTTTTTCTCACAAGCTTTTAAGATCCTGCGCTTTATTTTCAAAGCGACTTAAACACAAAAGTACCTGCTGGCTTCCCACAAGATGCAGCTTCCTCAGTAATTTTTGAAAATGATCCATGCCTTTTCTCTTTCTACAAATCAAGTCCAGTTTTTAGGATATGGATTTAGTTTTAATCAAATGGTGAGTCGATTTGGCCTTGTGTTAATGCAAATCAAATGCATTCTCTTGGCCCTGGAAAGTTAAAAGTGATGTCATGTTTTAAAGATCCTGTATTCTGGTGGGGAGATGTACAAGTATTCTGAACTTTGCTATTGAGATTATGTTTATCTCACTTACCATTTGGTCAGCAGTCCTGGCTAGATGATAATTACCCCAGCCAAATTTCATTCAGTAAGGGTTCTGCATTTCTTTACTAGGGGAAATAAAAGAACCCGAGTCCAACAGAACACTTGCAGACAAAACAAAGAGGTTTTATTTTTGATTCTTGATCAAAATTCAGTTGGTTACATTTCCAAACTTGCCAGCTGTGATCCATAGTCCATATTTACCCAACACATCGAAGCTGGGTGCATAGATATGTTGTATCTATCCATAATAATTATAAGAGGAGAGGATACCTGCAGCAAAACAACTTGGGTCCCAAAGGGACTGAATTCTGTCATGAGTTGTCCATTTCTGCCAAATACTTGAACAGTTTCTTCCCAATTACCAAGAGAGTCCTGAACAATTATATTCCCCTTTTAACATCTGATGGGTGACATCCAGACCTTGGGAGCCTGGCCTGCCCATGGCGGGGGTTTAGCAGCCCAGATTAGGCATGATAATAATTTAGAAGTTTATGGGACAAAACCTAGTGGGCTTTTCCGAATCGCATCTTAGGATCAGGTCTCATTAGCTTGGTGGTTGTATCCCCTTTCCAGCTGGCTTGAGTCTCCCAGGGAGATTGTGGGTCTGGGAAGTCTGCAGTGGCTGAGATGTCAGGCTTCCTCGGGGGCCAGGGAAAATAAGGAGCTCCTTCAAGCACCTAAGATAGGATTTATCTTGGATAATATGGAATGTTTACAAATGCCCTAGATGTGTAGTCGTCTTTTGGAGAGGCTGAAGGGTGATAGGCAGCCCTGGGACACTACTCATGATGTGTTTCTCTCATTTCTCTCCTTCGACTTATCTAGACATCAGCTCAGAGATACTCATTACACTGGACATGGCTGAGGTTACCTGAGAAAGGTCTCTCCCTACTGACTTAGTGACTACCCCTTGTCCCTAGCCTGCATGTGGAAATGGGTGACAACTGGGCATCCCTCCCAGCAGTGGGATGTTGTCAGATGTGGCTGGTCTAGGAATACATCTCACTGAAAAATGAATGAACTCTGGGCTGCTCCGGTTGATGATGGTAGGGGAAAAATGAGCCATGCAGAGCTGGAGCTTTCCCATGGTTATCACCCTCCAGTGCATCAGCTCTGAAATGAGTCAGATGATAGAAAAATATTCAGGTGTCTTTTTCAAGTCTGAATCTCTCTTCCCATCATGCAAGGAGAGGGGACCCAAATCACCTGGAAGAGCAGCCAGAGGTTTAGTGCATGAATGCATGGGAGGCACACGTGCTTCCAGGTGGTCCATGGCCAGAGGACATTGCTTGGTGGGAGGCAGGGAGCTGCCATTTCTGGCTGCTAATAGGACCCGGCTGGAGAGGTCAGTCACCACTGTCTCCATGAAGAAGACATTGAAAATGTTCTTGTGGCAGCGCAGCCTCATGTGGTCCTGAGGTATCACCCAGGGTGAAGGAAAAAATGAAATGCAATTCTGAAGGTGACGTCATTCCTGTTGGGAAGCGAGGGATAAAAGGGGAAAAGGCTGAAAAGCTGTTTGGAGAAACTGCTGAATCAACCCACCCCCATGAACACTCTCTGAACCTGCCTGGCCCCCTCCATGGTGCGGAGGGGTGATGTCCCCTTACGGATGCTTCCTCCAGCCAACTTCACCCACCGCCCACCCCACAGGCAGAGGTTTTCCCTCTCCTGCCTCGTCAGGCAGACACTACCCGTACTAATTAACGAGAAACTGAGGCTGGATCTAGCCTGGGCAGTGTCACTGGGCACCGCTGTAGTGCCGAGAGCGGAGATGGGCGGCAGCCCCAGGCTGAGCCTGCAGGAGTGGGACAGACGGCTGCAGAGGGCTCCGGCAGCGTCTCCAGATTGGAATGAGATAGGATTTTTTCACACTTAGCTGTAGTTTCACTGACAAAAAGACCAAAGACACTTTGAGAAGGCAGAGCGGAAGAATTGCAAAGAGGAGAAGGCACATGAGTGAAAAGGGGGAAAATCCCTGAGCTGATGACTTTGGGAGGGAGGAGGAATTCATCAAGGTGAATAGAGGAAAAGACAGGAGCAAGAAAGCTGAGCCTGGGAATCCAGACCCAGAGGGCGGATGCACAATGTGTGGCAACCCAGGACGCTCGGCCGAAGGGACCACAGTGGGGGAGGAGCCCAGCCCCAAGTCTTGCTTTGGAGGGAGAAATCGAGCTCAGCTTGGAGGCTGCCGCTGGCCCTACTTCTGACACGACATTTGGGAGAAATGCAGCTCCGAGGGCTGGGATGCTCTTTCGGTACACAAATGAGTGTGGAAAGGGGGAGAGGGGCTTTTTGCAAGGGGATGTAGTGATAGGACAAGAGTTAATGGCTTTAAATGGAAAGAGGATAGATGTTGATTAGATCTAAGGAAGAAATTTTTTACACTGAAGTTGGTGAGGTACTGGAGCAGGCTGACCAGAGAAGTTGTGGCTGCACCATCCCTGGAAGTGTTCAAGGGGGGCTTTGAGCAACTTGATCAAGGTGTCCCTGCCCGTGGCAGGGGAGTTGGAACTCGATGATCTTTAAGGTTCCTTCCAACCCAAACCATTCTATGATTTTATGATTTGTTTATGGATGCCACATTACTACCTCCATAAAATGGGTTTATGGGATTTTCCCTGCCCCCACGTTGTAAATTGAGGTCCGTAAAATGTAGAGCAATTTATCACTGACTATTGCTCAGTTTTATGTTGATGTTTGGACAGGGCCATAAAAGAATTACATTATCTTACCTCTGACCAACTTTCAAGGCAAAAGGACCTTATAAAACCAAGCTCTGCTTACTAGCAAGGCACATTCTCTTGTCTTGGGAGCACAGAGAGCCTTTCTACCATGAGCTTCACTGGAAAGTACGAACTCCAGTCCCAGGAAAATTTTGAGCCTTTTATGAAAGCCCTTGGTAAGTGCCTGCTTGTGCTATGTGCTGCTTTGCCTCCGTGGATCCCACTGATATTTGGGAGTCCAACTTCTGCACAGTTATGTGCCAGAGGAGCTTATGTGTCAGACCAGCTTAAGGCTTTGGGAGAAGCCTTTAGTAAGCTGGTTCTGAGGGATCTTGAATATCACAAAAAAACCCTACTTTGTTCCCTCATTCTGCCTTGATTTATTCCATTTTCTCTGCTTGCCTCTCAGTGAATGAAGGAAAACAGGATTTTTTTCTTTCCATCTGATGCTTAGCATGGAGGTAGTTGTCCTGCTCCCAGCCACGTTGGTGAGACAAGGGAGAAGTCTAGTTCCCACACAAAACCCAGAATGACAGTATTTGTTGTTCTTCCTCCCCAGCAGACTCAGGGCCATGTGGCCCTTGGGGAAACATCGTCATTGCAAGGTTCTTCCACACTGGAATAGAAATCCTTCCAGCTGTGGGTCCTCAAATCCCATCACATTCATTCAGTGATAACAATCTGCCCACTGATGGCTCTAAGGTCCTCCTAATGTCTCTTGTTCTGGGCAGGACTTCCCGATGACCAGATCCAGAAAGGCAAGGACATCAAGAGCATCTCGGAAATCGTGCAGGATGGGAAAAAATTCAAGATTACTGTGACCACTGGCTCCAAAGTGCTGCACAACGAGTTCACCGTCGGGGAGGAGTGCGACATAGAGATGCTGACAGGAGAGAAAGTCAAGGTGAGTGACCAGCTTCTCCTCTGCCAGGGCTGCAGGGACTCAGAGACATTAAATTCCCTTCCCAGCCATTGCCTCTACACTTGAGCGAAGGGAATGACCAGACCACAAGCGTTAGAGCTGACAGAGGGAAAAGTCCTGGGTAATTCCCCAGCCTGGTTCTATCTCTCACAGTTTGCACGATCTAATATAACGGGAAGGGGCTAATTGCTGAAAACAAGTCTGCGGATGTGACACTCGTTGCCCTGCTCCCTGCAGGTCCTCAGCAAGTCTCTTAGGGACACATTTCTGAAAATGACAGTTCATTTCTGAGCCACCTTCCTGAGAAACTCAGAGCTCGAGACTCTGAAGTTCCCACCTCCCTTCTTCTCTTTTACACAACAAACTCCCCAACCAGCACTTCTGCAGACGAATCCTTGCGTTTCTAAAGCTATTTTAATAGCCAGTTTGGAAAACTTGGGAAGCCAGTGTTTTAATAGCCCATTTGGAAAATGGGGATAGAGATGCTTTGGTAAATTTTTCTGACAGCAAAAGGTCTGAAAGATTTGAGTTGGAAAAAGGTTGACTTTCTGTCATGTTGAAACACAAAACATACCCCCACCTTCCTCTTGTTGACTTAAAGACAATGCAGGAAAATCAGCCAATAAATCAGAAACCAATAAATCTCTCCTCTTAAGTCTCAGGAGCTGTTAGCTCCTCTTCCAGCCTTTTCCACTGCTTCTGTTTACACTGGGTGAGATGATTTGGCAAGGTGAGGATTTATCACCCTTGAAATTGGGTCAGCTCCCATTCCTGGACTTTAGTTTCCAATGGTTCGTAAAATGTCAAGACAGTGCCACCGGCAAATATTGCCTCTCACCTCTACCTAGGGAGAACACGATATTGCAGGGACTTTTGAAAGCAGCAGAGATCATCACCAAAGAAATGCCCCAGTGAATCGGGCTCTGAGAGCTGTACAGCTGTACCACAATTTTCAGCATCACTGAAGACTCTTGCATATAAACTAGGGGGAAACGGCTATTAGAAGAGTTTTACCTTCCGTAAAAGAGCAGCTCAAGGGCAGATGAACATGTCATACCTGGACAGACAGAAGAACAGAAATGGTTTTTGCTTGCTGGGTTATTTACTTCAGTAATTTCAATGATCAGTGTTAGCTGCCCTGGGGGTTCTGGTGCTGTCTGTAACCTTTTTAGATCATAGAATCATAGAATGGGTTGGTCTGGAAGGGACCTTAAAGATCATCGAGTTCCAAATCCCCTGGCCATGGGCAGGGACAGCTTCCACTAGATCAGGTTGCTCAACACTGGCCTTGAACACTTCCAGGGATGGGGCAGCCATAACTTCTCTGGGCAACCTGTTCCAGTGCCTCACCACCCTCACAGTGAAGAATTTCTTCCTTATTTCTAATAGAAATCTATTCTCTTTCAGTTTGAATCCATTGCCCCTTGTCCTATCACTACATCCCCTTGCAAATGTCCCTCTCCAGCTTTCCTGTAGGCCCCCTTTAGGTACTGGAAGGCTGCTAGAAGGTGTCCCCGGAGCCTTCTCTTCTCCAGGCTGAACAGCCCCAACTCTCTCAGCCTGTCTTCATAGCAGAGGTTTAGCAACTTTATCTTCCAGTTCCCTCAGGACCTGTGGATGCATCTCATCCGGTCCCATGGACTTGTGCACCTTCAGGTTCTTTTAGATGGTCTCGAACCTGACCTTCTCCTACAGTGAGCAGTTCTTCATTCTCCCAGTCCCTGCCTTTGCCTTCTGTGACTTGGGCTGTGCAGCTGGAGCTCTTGCCAGTGAAGACTGATGCAAAAAAGTCATTGAGTATCTCAGCCTTCTCCATATCCTGGGTAACCAGGTCTCCCATTTCCTTCCAGAGAGGGCCTATGTTTTCCCTAGTCCTCCTTTTATCACTGACGTACCTATAGAAGCTTTTCTTGTTTCCCTTGATGTCCCTGGCCAGCTTTAATTCTATCAGAACTTTAGCTTTCCTAACCTGATCTCTGGTTGTTCGAATTATTTCTCTATATTCTTCCCAGGCTACCTGTCCTTGCTTCCACCCTCTGTAAGCTTCCTTTTCGTGTTTGAGTTGGTCCAGGAGCATCTTGTTCATCCATGCAGGCGTCCTGGTGGTTTTGCTTAACTTCCTCTTTGTTGGGATGCACTGCTCCTGAGCCTGAAGGAGGTGATCCTTGAATATTAACCAGCTGTCTTGGACCCCTCTTCCCTCCAGGGCTTTCTCCCATGGTACTCTACCAAGCAGATCCCTGAGTAGGTCGAAGTCTGCTCTCCTGAAATCCAGGGTAGTGAGCTTGCTCTGCTCCTTCCTTGCTGCCCTAAGGATCTTGAACTCCGCTGTTTCATGGTCACTGCAGCCAAGGCTGCCCTTGAGCTTCACGTTCCCCACCAGCCTCTCTTTGATGGTGAGAACAAGGTCCAGCAAAGCACCTCTCCTTGTTGGCTCCTCTATCACTCGAAGAAGGAAGTTATCATCAATGCATTCCAGGAACCTCCTGGATTGCTTCTGCCCTGCTGAGTGGTCCCTCCAACAGATATCGGGATGGTCGAAGTCCCCCATGAGGACCAGGGCTTGTGAACGTGAGGCAGCTCCTATCTGTCCATGAAGGGTCTCATCTGGTTTTGGTCTTCCTGGTCAGGTGGCCTGTAGCAGTAACGGGTAATAGTCCGAGGGCTGTACCAGGCTGGGAAGTTTCCAAGTGGTGTCCTTAACCCAGGCGCCGGGGAGGCAGCAGACTTCCCTAAGAAGAGGGTCTGCCTGGCATATCGGCCCCTCTGTTCCTCTAAGATGGGAGTCGCCTATAACTATTACGTGTCTTTTCTTCCTTGTGGAGGCAGCCGTGATTTGGGGGATAGGCCTTTCTGACCCTGGCAACACCTTTGGTGTAGATAGACTGTCATCCACATCATCCATTGATGGGCCTTCCACCTCCAGACCCTCATACTTGTCCAGAGGCACTACTGCCTTCTGCCTGGTGGGAGAATACAGAATCCCCTTGATCTTGTTTTTTTTTTCTGGTGGCTGTTCCTCTTTCTGCCTTAGGTTGAGCAGAGCATGACACCATCAGTCTATCTCTTTCTCAGACTCCCTGATGCTCCGTTAAGGACCAATGTAGATGCAGTGTAGAAAGGTTAACTTTTTACTTCCTCTCACAGCTCTGCCACCACTCTGAGCAGATTGTCCACATGGTCACACCTCACACAGTTGTCCTCACCACTGCCGTCCCTTACCAGGGAAAGGCTCTGGCACTCTCTGCACCCTGAGACCTGGATGTGCAGCTCATGGGGGCAGACTCAGCAGGTGTGCCTGTCCCTCTGACAGCTTTCCAGCTGTGACTGAGATTCTGAAAGCTCCTTAAATAGTTTCCCACCTTGATCGAGACTCCCCTCAGCCCCACGCTGTCACTCAGCTCCCTACCAACCCACCCCAAAGGAGGCTGCTGCATCAATGTACAATAGGCAGGTGGTGGAGACAAGACGGCATGATGTGCTCAGGTCACTCTGCAGTCCTCTCCTTGGAGGCATGCAGCTCCTCTTGGTTTGGGTGCTGCATGAGGAGCTGTCCCAAGGAGCATCAGGGCTGCATGGAGACACCAGCATTGGCAGTGAAGAGCCTTCCTCCTTTTCCACCAAAACTCATGTGTTGGTGTGATGCCAAGGGATGCCAAGGATCCCTGCTCTGGCATCTAACAGTGCAGGAGCTGTGAGTGAGTCTCAGTTTGAATGGGAGAAAGGTAGGTATGACTGCAAAATCACATCCCTGTAGAGGCCAAAGTAAACATCCATACCCTTGCTGTGTTGTAGTCACCACCAGCGCAACCCTCTCTCCTCCTCCTCCCAGGAAAGCCAAAATCACCGGGGCAGCAGCTTGCTCCAAACAGCTTGCAGAGGGGATAGTGGCAACTCAGTACTGAAGGGGAAGGACAAAACGCAGGGGTTGAGACGGTCTCCAGCAATAATGTGAATGTCTCTGTCTCCTCCTACCAGACTGTTGTTCAGCTGGAAGGTAACAAACTGATCACAAATGTGAAAGGGCTGAAATCCGTCACTGAACTCAACGGAGACACCATCACCCATGTAAGTATAAAAGAGAAGGGCAGTGGCTGGAGCAATGGTGCACACAGCTGCCTTCAGGGGTCTGGACCTAGGAAGCCTACAGAGATGCAGGAGACCTTAGGGAGGTACTGGAGATGAGCACATGCTTGCACTCAGACTCTGCAGCCAAAGTCGATCAGTACGCCAGGCACTGAAGGCAGCTTTTCACTATAGTTCAATCCAAAAAGTACTGTTTAAGACTCCAGTAGGCATTGCTGATCAAAGTTTCACTTAGTGAGGGCGTGTTCTTACCTACCTAGAGGTATAGGTATGTGCCTGGGCCTGGCACTTTTAAAGAAGAGAGGTGCAGCAGACCGATCCCAGTTGAGGGATGCCAGATTATCTGTACCTGCTTCGGAATATTCATGAAGACATCCAAAACTTTAATAATTCAGTTTATTATCCCAGATAGACTGGGAACCAGTCCTGTTTTAATTTGTAAGACCAGATCCTTTCCAAGTAGAGTTTGGAGCCAAGAATCATGAAAAGCTAAAGCTCTTCATTTGTTTTTCAGGTGATGACCCTGGGAGACCTCACCTTCAAGAGAATCAGCAAGAGAATCTAGAAACCCTGCACACAGCAATCATTTTACTGCGTAAAACGTGTCTATTAAAGTAAAATTTGTTTTAAAGGCCTCTTCATATCATCAACCTCTTCACTGTTACTATAAAGAGATGCAAGCCTCCAAAAGTCACGAAAGCCCTAGTAGAAATTGGGCAACAGGTTGAGCCAAGGTGATGATGATGTTGGTGAGTAGAGCTGGTCTAGGGTGCAGGCTCAGAGCCATTGAGTCACTCTCTGAGATGATCTCCATGCTGATGACCACTCTTCCAGCTCCTTCCTGGGGACAGGTGCCAGCATCCTGCTGGGGGTGTCCTAATGAGTCTTGCACCCAAAGCTGCCCTGGCTGGGTGGACGGAGGAGAACTGGGCAGGGAAAAGGCTCTGTTCCCTTTCCTTACAGACATGGCCAAAGTGACCACAAGGTGACTGGCAGGAGGACAAAGGATAGGGTGGTTTAGGTTGGCTCAAGGAAATGTCAGTGACCCTAACTGGAAAGCTGCCTTGGGGAAGCAACCAGCATGGGGGCAGTTTGGGTGTCACATCCACCATCTTCATCCTCACACCTCTGCAACAGAATCCAGCCCTACAGGCTCTGGCCACCCCATCCTCATCTCCTCCCCATTCCTTCCCACCAGCAGGAGGGCTCAGACAGCCTTCAAGTGTCCAGCATGTGTTTCACCCCAAACTGTTCCTGATAAATTGGGTTGAACTGGAATTGAACACTTCTTCCAGGGTGAAATACAGGTTTTTTTCTCCTGGCAGGAGATGGGCACTGACTGTTCACAGTATAGACACAGAAAGAACACCAAAGTCATCTCCCATGCTCTTGCTTGACAGTGCAGGCTGGATGGAGATGTGGAGTGCACAGGAGAGGATACTCTTCCTTCTTAGCTGCCTTTTCCAAGCCCTGTGCTGGGATGATGATTGGGAATCATCACTGGGAAATGGGTATATGGCTGGTATGATATACCGAGCTGGGGTGATGTTCTTGCAACTGCTCAAAGTTGATCAGGATGTTAGGAAAACACCACAAATGCTTCCTCACCTCCTCCTGCAACCTCAACACATTTCACTAAAGGACCAATTTGTCCTCACGTGCATCTTTCTCATGACTCCTCTCTCCTCAGGAAAGGTATTCATGTTACTGGTTGACATTCATCCTCATGCTGAGAACCGAATCAATATGGATTTTCACACTGGGCATCAGATGGGTACCTCATGGACAAATGAAAGGGCTTAACTCAACACCACCTAAAAAGTAGATGCTGGTCTCCAGTGAACTCACCTTAGATCTGGAGAAACATCAGCAGAATCACTGAGAACTCTCAAAGAGGAAAAGCCCTGGTTTTGTTTTCTGGCTATTCTGCTGAGGACCAGGTAGGGGATTGCTGAACAAACCATCCCTTTTCATCTCTCCACTGAAGGTCTGGAGCAAAATAGCTGGATTTTGAGATAGATGGGCAGATAGCAAAGACCTTTTTTTTATCTAGAAATCCAACCATTGCCTTTAGGCTTTTCCTTAGCTCTATTGGCTGCCCACTGGCAGACCCATGGACTATCCTTTTTTGCTCAGTGCAAAATTGATTAATAAGCTGAAAGGCAGGTGCTGAATGGCGTCAGAGCCCCCCAGCTCACCCTGAAGGTGAGCAAAGGTGGATCCCCCTCCCTGGAAACCACTTGTTCATTCAGAGCAATTCGCACAGCCAGTGCACCCCACCAGTGCAACTGGCTTCTGACATGGACCCAACTCATGTCCGTCTGCTGCCATCACTGCAGACTTCTTCCAATTTTTAACTAAGGAGACTAATTTACCCTAATTATTTTATCCTGATGTAGGAATTCCACTTAGTCTCGCTTGCAAAGTGCCCATAGTTTGATGTTGCACCCGTGTCAGCTGCAAAATAATTTTTCAGCAGTTTTTCATTAGAAAAACACCATTTGACACAAAACACCATCTGTGGGTCTTATTCCGTTTGCACTCAATGCCCACAGGCATACATGGCACTTTTTGGAACCAGCTTCTCACTTCTACCATGTCTTGGTCAGCCACCTATGGACATCACTGGAAAGAAATTATATCATCACAAGGAAATGATGGGAAAAAAACACTTAGGAAAGAATCAATTAAAATTTAACCAAGGACTTCAGAATCAGGACTTGCGTAGAGAGAAACAGGCTTCCAATAAGAACGTAAATAATTTTATAACAGGTTTTTTTGCTTGGATTTTTAATGCTCGTGGTAGAAAAAGGATGTGTTTCTGCCAAGATCTCTTCTGCTTTGAGCCCTCAGAAGATTTTTCAGGACTCTTCCAGCAGATCCATGCTGTCAGACTGCTGCCACTGGAAACAATCCTTATCCATATATCACATTCCTATATCACATTTCCAATGTTTGGAGGTGCCACAAGTGATGTTATTCCACAGGCATGAATTTGTGCCAAGCTCGGGGTTTATTCCTTCTTGTGGAAGAGGCTTGGTGAGGTATCATTGCTGGGTTCAGGCATGACTTGAATCTTTTGGTTTTTGAGGGCAGCTTCCCTCATCTTGTAATACATGAACTCATTCTGCTGGAACATGCGCAGCTCCATCTCCGTCTGGACACGCATGACCTGAGGGACACAACAGGTTACCAAAGCTGTGATGCAGGACATCTCAAAGCAAGTGAATAACGCACTGCTTAAAAAGGGAAGTCGTCCTTCAGGGATGCCCTAGGCCAAGTAATGACACCTTACCCTAGGTGTCCCACCAGCAGGACCAAAGCTGACTGGACACAGATACACAGTCACTTTCTCAAACCTGCTTGCCTGTGTACTGTGAAGGTGAAGAAGGCATCAGCCCTTCCTGCACCCAGCTCTTTCACAAGCTGCTGAGAAGCCTCATGCTCCCAAACCTGATGCAGGACCAAGAGGTGATGTTGTGCAGAGCCAGGGAGCGAGTGCACTTCCCACCCACACCCTGGGCCTGACCCTTGGTGTGACCCATCACCAGGGTGGGGGTCACCTGATGTGGAAGGAGGTAGGGGAGGAGGAGAAGGATGCTCAGCCCCTCTTCAACCACGTCACAGTTGCACCCCCTGCATCCCAGGACTCACCATGAGCAGAGTCATTCCTAGTGCTGCATTAGAGCAGAAGCTCAGAAGGGATTTTAGGAAATGTTTTTACACCTGACTGATTTTATTCATCCCTTGGTTTAGGAGCAGAGATAAGCATGTGCCATATCTCCTATTTTCCTTCTAAAGTAAGTGGGAAGGGAAATACAGAAATGGAGATGCTGGGGTCTCGCCCTCTGCTCTTTGTAGGGAAACAGTCAACAGATAGGTTGGCTTTACATACTAGATACTAATTTTTCTGATGATATAAAATTGAATTAATAAAGGTTATAGCTCTGCTGTAATGGGGACTAAAACATCAATAAAGGGTTTCACTTGGTATCGTGTAATTTTTTTTTGCTAATAAAGGAGAATGCTGTAAAGCCAACAGGTCACATCAGGTGAGTTAAAGGCTAAAGAAATTATAGATTCCCCAGCTGCAGTTGTAAATAGTTCATCATATCCAAGTAGATGTAATTCCCTGAGATCTGCAGCTCTTGACCCTAAACTAGGAAACACACACCTATCAGTCATTTGAGGAAAAAAAATACATTGCAGCTTAGAAGGACTGGGGAGTGGTAAATAAAGAAGAATGGACCCCGATAAAGAAAATCATTTGGTAAACTGGGAACATCCAGAATATGTAATTTGATATAGTCAAGTTGTAAGGTCATCCATCTGAGGTCAGCGAAATCAGGCTATTTGAAGAATGGGAGCCTCTGACCTTGGGCACAGCAGTTTCAAAGAAGATTCAGGGGCTCAGTGGCCATTTTTAAAGTATGTCCTGGTGCAGGATAAAAGCTGTTTTTCAGGAAGAGAATTTCCCATATGAATGGACATGCATTTCCCGGTAGACTGTAACATAATCTATAGATAACCACAGCACTAGTAAGAAGCAGTCAGTATTTGATACGTCTCTCAGTTCTTACGGATGGGCTGTTCCTACAGCTTGAATGTTATTTTTCCCAGACAGACAGCAGTCGCAACGTGGGAGATGACACCTACCTCCAGGTCTTTGGTAATTGGGTGGGAAGGTCCATGGGTTATCAGGAGAATGGCATAGGCTTTACAGATCAAGCCATGCCCAGCTTCAATGAGACCAGCATGCCAGTGGGTCACTCCTGCCCGCATCACGGCCATCCCCAGCTGCGCGTTGTTGGGATGGTATATCTTCCTAGAAAAACAGAGTAACTTCAGTTCAGGAAAGATCTGGGTTCCCAAATGTTTGTCAGTGACGTAGTATGTTTGCCAAAGAGCAGACTGTTCACTCAAGTGAAGAGCCTGTTGCATTCGGTGCCACTGAAACGTGCAGCCCTGCTTAGAAAGGGCCAGGCATGAGTTACACGAGGACATGAGTGATATGAGGACATGAGTTGTTGTGAAAGACGATGAACAACTTGAGAATGGTGGAAGTTGGACACCTGGGTTGGAGAAGGCCAAGCTCTGTCATTCCACATTATTTTGGCACAAACAAACCCCAGATCTGACCCTACAGTCCAGACGGCACCAACTTAACTTCAGATACTCAATGCAGTGCCTAAATTGAGAATGCAATGACCACCAGCTTCTCATTCAAAGTAGAGAGAGAAACAGGTGGTTCCAGAAACTCTAGAAATGTTCATCTCACCCCCTGGAAATGCACCTCTGCCTCCAGAGACTGTCAGATCCCTTCTCTACGGCCAGTACCTGAGGTGGGAAAAACGAAACCTGGCCTCTACATCCAATTTTAGAAGCTGAGGCAGAGTTAGAATCTGCTTGGACTTACCTGAAAACCTGCCTTCAAGGGCTTATTTGGCATATTGAATTGGCAGATCTTAAAGCAAGGAAGGAAATTACTGCAGTCCTCACTCTGGACTGAAAAACTGAGGAACAGGGAGGAGGGGTAATTTCCTCTGTGTCATTCCATTAGCTCAA